TTTTAGCCCCATAACATTATTATACACCTTTTGCGTAAATAACCGAGAGCACATGGTAAAACAACAACAATCCGTCCATGTAGGTATTATAAATTGTAGTCATCGTACGCACATAATAATAATAATATATAATATATATAACATAACACATACGATAATACACGTAACGCTCGTAACGATGTGCACAAACAAAACTTGACGAGGTTATCTTTCAACAGTTTCTCCCTTTCCTTCTCTGTCAAATATCTCTCTTGACTCGTGTCATAAAACACCCAACCGAGGCTCGATGCTGCCGCAGGCTACTACTGCTGGGGTTTCCTATACTGATGCTCCTATACGGCAATCATCCATCATATTCACAGATATTTGTGGGAAATATCTCGTTGCACATCCTCAATCGGGGTAAAGGTATACAGGTGGGGACGCGCGCGCATCAGATAATCCAATAGGTACCATCAGAAAGTTCTGGTGATACAATAATAGTATTACAAGTACGCCCAACTCGAGCAAACGGGCGACCGTGTCGTTGTTGTCGCCGACTCGAGGAATCAAATTGCAAAATTTGCCACGGATCTCCCTCTCTCTCAAGTGCGAGATATGCATATACCTGTACAGTTCGCGTATATTATATTCTCATTGTATACGCTTCAACCTCCCCCCCCCCACTACCCCCACTACGGCGCTTCACGGTTAGCCGAGTAATTAATGAAAACGGCATTCCCAGAGCCCCCCGGAGGCGACTACACGCGCACTGATGTACAAGTAATACCTACTTGTGGTCCAAGTTGTCGTCGCTGCGCGTTGGTATATATACTCTCTCTCACTCACTCATTGTAAGTGTACCTGCACTGTTCGAAGGATCTACCCTGCTGTTGCAGGTGAGTATTATTTCACTGCTCGGCTGCACTTTTCTTTTTTTTCTTCTTCTCTCCCCTCCCCCGCTCCAATGGGGCGATTAAATTACGAGCTGGCGCAGCCCCATGGAAAATTAGAGTGGATTTTTCACTTCTTTCTTTATTTATCAGCAAGTTAGAAAAGAAGGGGGTGGCGGCGACAGCGAATTTTTTACCAGCAGGTTTTCCGCCGCTCTTGTGCCGTTTGCTCGCTCGGAGCCAATCGTACTCGATCGTACCGATTGTTCACTTTCTTTTTTATTTATTTATTTTTTTTTTTTTTTCCGTCGCTGCCGATTTGCGCGCGAGGAGCCAGGTGTTTTTAGTTTTCATCACTCCTCCCTCCGCCTTGAGTTTGATCCTCGGGTGAATTTACATCTTCTTTTTTTTTCTTTTATTCGTATTTAATTTGGGAATGTACGTACGATGTACCGTGCAATCGTTCACTCTTTCCCCGAAAGAGCTCGTTGATTCATTATTTATTTATTTATTTTTTCTTTCTTTTTTCCTCACTTTGTCGCTTTTCCTATACTATATGCACATCTTTTTTAAAAACCAAAGTATAATAATAATGATAAAAGTCCGCAATTGAAAAGCTGCTGCAGCTGGCAAACACAAGATACGCAGTACCCGCCAACGGAGAAGGGAGAAGAGAAAAAAGAAATACGAACAGAGTATAGGTAGAACTCGAAAAATCAATATTCATAAACTTTTAAAAAAAGATGTAGTTCGGTTTACCTACAAATCGTGGTAGGTATATACAATATACCAGGTAATAATATACACCTATAATTATGTCGCACACCCGTACCTATACTCTAAGGAAGACGAGTACCGGTATTTCTGTACCGATCAGTATAGGTATCAATAATACTAGTATATACCCAGCTAGTAGTCGAGCTACATACAACAGTAATAGTTGTCGCTTGTCAATCAGACCGCTCACTTATCATAATATAAACAGCGATGTGTATAAATATAGCATCAGCAGTTTCCTAGAGCTCAAGGTATTTTCCTTATATAATTATATATTATAAGTATATGTAGGTATATATGTATCGAGATAGGTACGGTCTTTTGCTCTCTTTTTAGACCAAAGTTTAGCACCACATGGATTACATAAATATCCTCCTTCTCGCGTATCCTCAGTAGGTATAAATGTACGTATACGCGGACACGTGGAAAGACAGGAAGATCGAGCAAGATCGAGCAAGATTACCTATATGTCGAGATGTATCATGTAAGTACATATGGATATAGATAGGTGTGCGCGCGCGCGTGTGTGTATGTTATGACGATCTAACGATATGTTATACTCATACAAATTAATATACTCTGATAGGTATATACATAAAAACAACGACACATGGACGCATGCAGAAGCGGAGAAGGTGATACGGTGTAGGTATTGGTGACACGCGTAATTAGCGTCCTGAGGAGGAAGAGGAGGCCATGGCGGAAACAAACAGCCGTTCACTCTTTGCTCTTTCGTATAATGCGTTGTACCTATACATATTATACTTATTCACCATGGGTATTACCATACGTGTGGTGTCGTTTACGTGAATGATAATATATATATAGCTACACTTATATGATAGCGTATGATTATTATATATACACTGAGAGACCGGATTGTTTATAATAGTTAAGTTATATGTTAATTGTTAATATGTGTATCTTAACTATAAACAATCCGGTTTCTCTCGGTGTACCCAAGCAACCGTGCCAACCACATTGCATCGGTAAGAAGATAAGAAAGATTTTATTATTATTATTATTATTATTATTATTATTACCTTTCTACCCATGCGTATGTACATGTATTGCTCTCTGTTGAACTGGCAATTGAAACTTTCGGCATTTTTTTTTTTTTCATCACAATTAGTTTTAATTTTTTTTACTCGCTGTCGCTTGAATCGCTACCGAGTATGCACGGCAGATTTACTTGATGCTCCAGAACGATTAGTCTTGGAAAACTGTAGCTACTTACTTTAGCTCTGCAGAATATACTTATTTCTTTATAGATGTCTGCACACTCATATCATTTTTTTTTTTTTCAACTACTCTGTTTGTGTGAGGTAGGTACCTACACGACGAGTGCCCCTGAAATACATTATAGGTTTTTTCTGCCGCTGCCCAACACTGTCGTGTTGTTGCATTATATATTAATATCGCGAAACATCGTTAAACCAGCTGCTAAAGTTTTCTCCGCCCTACTAACTAATTTTTGAACAACTAGCAGATATTGTATGGAGTAAAATGCCAATCGCAACATGAATCTAATTTTTGCGTTAATTGCTTGTGCCCGAACTGCGAGCACAATTGCATTTGAAAAATCATCAACCGAGAGTTGTTCTTTTGTTGTCGTCGCTATCCTGAATTATACAACAACTGCTCCATAGTTACTTACAGCCTCCACTTTGAGAGATCATTGAGTTTGGTGATTACTTTGGGCATTGTAATCTCTCTCTCTCTCTCTCTATCTCTGTGCTCCCTCATCCCTTTCTCGGCCTGTCCCGTTGCAATGTTCACAACTCTCGGAGTGTGCGCTATGTGTGCAGTCGACTTTACACTATAGGGACACTAGATACTGTTGTTCGTGTGTATGCACGTGGGTGTGGAGTGTACATGCATGCACGTGTCGGAGTAATTTTGCGAAGGAAGCTCAAGCTATGAGTCTCTCTCGAGATTGAAAAAAACGACTGAGTACCTTCTGAACGACCGATGAACCTTGTTAATGGCATTATTTAAAAATTTCCAAATTTTCAATTCATTGAGAATATTTATTTAATACCTACATACTTTGCACGGCAAATCATAGGCGCCATCATTTGATTCTACGAATCGACTGAAATAAATCTCAAGCATTTTCGTCTGTCGAAACATTTTTTTTTTCGCACCAACGTGTGGGCTCGCGTAAGTACTATATTCATTAGAAAAAAAAGATGCACGGTTTAACGAGAGCCCTTTTCGCCTCTTTTAGTATGGGCACGTTGAACGAGCGAGACTGGTAACTAAAAACCACAAATTCTTTTTTGTTATTTAATTATTTTTTTTTTTTTTTCTTTGTCCTACTTCGTAGAACAGCGCGGTGCAAGTAAACTTGATATCTGCCGTACCGAAGGTAACAACCCGCCCTGCATGTATTATGTTATGCGCTAATGAGTATATATGATGTAATGTTGGTTGTTTTATCCTACCCACGTTTGTTATTCATGTTTACATCAAACATTCGGATATCTCTCTTTGGTTCTCGTTTTGGTTGGTCGGTGTCGTTTCAGTTAAAATATTGGGTTGCAAAAAAAAAAAAATAATAACAAAATGGTGTGGTGTCACCCTCTTCAGCCAAATGTACCGCATCATTATTTAATTATTTTTACCAATGTTATTGAAATAAGTTTATAGGTGTTTATACGCTGCATACCGAAAGACTGTAAATGCGGCTGGCTGATGGCGCGCGCAACACGATTTGATCGTTAGTTGCCTGACGTCCCCGTCCACTTTTCCATCACTTTGTTTTTCATGAGAAATAAATTCATGGCGAGACAGCGCGAAAAATGTAGTGATATTACGAGAAGAAAAAAAAAAAAAAAAAAAACCAACGAGTTTAATCCAACGTGTGTTTTCACTCCTCCCCCTCCTCTACTAATGTTTACTGATAACTGCTGGGTGCATATAGTGTACGGTTACAATATACTGTATACCTACTATATTATCGTATCGACTTGGAGGTTAAAAAAAAAATAATAATAATAATAATAGTAGTTACGTTGCATCAGCAACAAATGTAACGTATTATTTTACACGAGGGTGAAACATTATATTTAAGTATAAAAGATGTAGGATCACATAATATTATTAACCCGTGGCACGGCAGATTTGGCCGCTAAGCACGTCCTATTATCTCAGCAATAATAATTTCCCACCGACGACGGCATTGCGTACCCATCACTCATCTCGATACATATACGAGTCACGCAGTACACACGCACATACAACAATATAGGCATTGTATGAATAAAATAGGGCAATTAATTATATTCCGGGAAATGTATAAGATGCTCGTGGTTACTAACGATTGGTGTATGTTTGGATTGATTGCAGAATGGCTGCAGAGGCGGCGAGCAAGAAGGCAGAGCGCGAGGCACTGCGAGGCGTCATCCAACAATGGAACGCCAACAGGCTGGACCTATTCGAGCTCTCGGAGCCAAACGAGGTGAGTCATGTTGTCGACTTATAAATAAGTACATTATATACAATTGTACGTACTTACTTACTTGCATGTACTCGCTTGATCCCCTTATGTTACAAACAATCCTCTCATCTCTCGTTTTTCAAATACTCGTGCATCAATGTAATAATTGGCTATGATTATACTTATCTGTCTCTATATACTTGTAAAAGTATTTACATAATTTATGGGTAAGCTGTAAACAGTAACCGTGCATGTGTGTGTATTTTTATATTTATATATTTATACGTATGTATACATTTATAAACACGTAATAGGTAGGTATAGGCAAAAGTCAAGAGTGAAAAATAAGCATTAAAGAAAAAAAAGGGAGGGGGGGATGGGGGTTGATGAACGCCCGCGCAGCAGCGTATCTTTCTACTGGCGGAATAAATTAATGGCTCTCTGTTGCTCTGAGCATAAATCATGAATATGTGCATATTTTGCGCTGTATGTTCGCTACAAACTTTTCAAGTTTTTGTTTTAATCGGAGCACCCGCTAGCATCTCGGGCAACAGCAACAAACAACCCGGAAAAGTATCGAGTTCGCGCTGTTGTCGCTCGCTGGTGGTCTAGAGAGCAAAGTGGTGGTGGGTGAGCGACCGACCAGCGAAAAATAAATCGACAAAACTTTTATGTACGGTACACACGCACGGGTAGCTTACCTCTCGAGCCCCTGCAAGTCTCGGGGGTTGCTGCTGCTGATCGAGTGTGTGTACCTGGACATTGCAAACGGCACAATAACAGCAGCAACGCGCGGGACAGGCAACGTCAAAGCAAACTTGACCCCCGAACTCTCATTACGTTGATTTCTTTGGCACTAAAAACACCGTGAAAGAAAAAAACGAACAGCACTGCTGCAGTCGAGGAGAGGAAACATCGGAGAAGATCGATTCATTGAAATGTCCGGAAATGTCGGGAGGCTCGTGTATCAGGGGTCATTTATCACGACTTTCGATACATCTCGCAAAAGGGGGCCAAGCATTATTTTGGACGTGCTCTCAACCCATTGTTTCATAGAAATCATTGAACAAACTGCTTCGTTCCTCGGGGTGTCGAAAGTCATGATAATATTAGGCCCCCCAGACTTGGAGTAACGAGCTTGCAAGTTGCCCCTCCGTGTTTCAAATAATTAATCTTTGTGCACCTATATCTCGACTGCTGCGCATATAGAATGGTAATCGTAATATCACATTGTGTATATAATATTATATTTATATACAGGCAGGCATTCACACGTGTAATTCATTTATGTTGTCTAATGTAATGTTGGCGCTTGTGTTTGTCTGACGTAGGATCTCGAGTTTCACGGGGTCATGCGCTTTTACTTTCAAGACAGCGGCCAGAAGGTTGCGACCAAGTGCATAAGAGTCGCCTCAGACGCGACGACGCAGGCTGTCATCGAGACGCTCATCGAGAAGTTCCGCCCGGACATGCGGATGCTCTCCGTGCCCGAGTACGCCCTCTACGAGATCCACGAGAATGGGGGTGAGTAACACCTGCCAACATGTACACGCAATGTGTAACACTTTATGTATACAGTAGTTGCGTTTGCGTGGGGTGCATCAAATAAAATAACAAAAATTATTTATAATGTACGAGCAGCACCGCGGTATAGTAATAAATTCCATGCTCTCTGATGTGTTGGGAACTCCACCGTACTCGGTAAACGTGTAGTTGACAAATAAAAACACTGAAAAGAGACCCAAGTTCGTGTACGCGTAGCAGAGTGATATTAAAGTGTGATGGCAGGTTAACATTGCCATGTCTGTATTTACCTACAATCTCTACTCTTATTGCACCGCAAACAACAAATGTAATGATGAATAAGTATTCAGGTACCAATGTGGGATTTAGCGAATTTTCACTTGGTCTCTATATACCTTTTTTTTTTTATATATTATAGTGCTCTACGTCCGGCTCCTTTGATAAGGGCACTTAGCACTTGGAAAAGGGACAAGGAAAGGGATGGGAAAGCCTCCCCATTACTGGGAGGGGGGTAGGGGGACATTAGGCAATTATGCTGCGAAAAGGTCGCCTAAACTTTGCATGACTGTAAATTACTGTCGCCCTCTTTATTCAATCGAGCAATAGCTGAGCCACTCGAATTTGTTTAAACAAGACTGATCGTAGCGCACTCTCTGAAAACTAATTTTCGAGTTTATTTTTGGTAGTACATCAGCTTATACATCAGGTTTTTTTTTTTGTTTTTTCTCCTCACGCGAATAAATTCTGTGCTTGTAATTAAAAATACTATGGAAAAAAAATGGTATGCACTAATGCCTTTGCGACGTTAAAATTATTCATTATGACAACACTCAAGTTTTAACTCTTTCTCTATTTTAATTATTGGGATAAAAAAAATTTTTTACGGTACCTACTCGTGTAATTAAAAATCAATAGTGTATGCAGTCGTCACAATTATAACTGTTATATCATTTGTACTTTTTATCCGACATCTTGGCTAACGTGCACGGTTTTTTCTTACGTCTGATTTTTTTGTCCAAAGAGAGCAATATGTTGAGAAAGTTCAAAGAAAGTTTGAAACTCTATCTAGTTGGTAGGTGCCTAAGTACCTATTATACGTGAAATGAAAACGACTAATATCATTCGCTTTCTTTATGACGGTGTTTTACCTGCTTTCAGAATTTTATAGTAGGATAATACTTTTCACATAACTTTTTTTTTTTTTTAATTTTTATTACTATTATTTTTCAAGACTTCAATTTCCCACATTTTTTTTTTTTTTTTTTTTTTTATGTTAACGATGAGTAGAAACTTGATGAATGTAAGACAACTAGGGCACTTTCATCATCTTACAATAAAAATTTTTAACTTTTTTTTCATACAAGTCTCAGATAATACGTTTATGTCGCGCGTGCAAAAAAATGATCACAGCATAATAATATACTGATAGTATATAGGAAAAGAAAAAGCACTGTCTCAAATATATTTGGATAAAATGCCGTTTTTGAATATCTGGTTTGGTAATTCAAGAATACTCGAGTTGGACGATAAATTTTAAAAAATTTTCTACGAATAATTGTGAAATTTGTTGAAAATAACTAGTAAAAATTGAAGATGTGAAAAAAATAACTTGAAGTTATTATTAATTTAACCTCTATAATGAAGTTTGCGTTGTAAAACTTACACACCCTTTTTCCGCGATTTACGTAAATTAATATATATATATAGAGAGAGAGAGAGATACGCGCACATCATTCAAATGTATTGACCTGTGAAATCGTTTGTTTGGGGACACAGAAGAGCGAAAACTCGGGCTGGAGGAGAAGCCACTGCTGGTGCAGCTGAACTGGCACATCGACGACCGCGAGGGCCGTTTCCTGTTGCGGCGTATCGACGACAAGACGAACGCCCAAGGGGTCGGCTTCGCCGAGGGCACGAGTTTCCGGCGCAAGCTCAGCAAGCGCGAGAAGAAGCAGATGAAGAAACAAGAGAAGCTCAGCCGGCTCAAGAGCATGGGCGCCGAGCAGGACGAGAATGCCGCGCCCGTCGATCAGAATGGCTTCGCCGAAAAACTCTACACCGGTGAGTCGCCGCTTTACTCTTGGCAATTACTACTAATATTATATCTATTTGATTATCATTATGATTATTACTTACGCTCGTGTAACGACATCGCTGTTGGCTTGTCAAACAATTATACAATCGTCAGCATCCGCCGCTCGGGTATTATTATCATCATCATCATCATTTCCGTATGTATGATATAAGATTATGTGCATTGCAGCGTTGTTTCTGCGTTGTTTCTGCGACGCACGATAACCGAGGTTTATAATGCACATATCCTATAAGCACGTGCTGCTCCGTCGCCCCACCCATCTCCCGTAAGCCGGCCGATCTCTCGGTACGGACTTGCCCTTTGATCGCTCGATTGCTCGATTCCGCGCGTACAATATAATATCACATGATCCGAGCGGGCACCACCTTCCATCCATTAAATTTCGCACGGTGTCCAAACTGTCATCTAATAGTTCTGGAAGCAAAGAATCATAATCGGATCGATGAAACATTAAAAATGGGTTTGGAGAATTTTGCAATTTTCTCGGCTTTTATCCCAACTGGCGGTGGTGGGCTACGTTAATGTTGGATCCATGAACAAGACCCTGCTGAGGTATCGGAAATATTTTCCCACTTGGCACTCTCGAACCGCGCTTGCACGCACGCTACCTCTACTCGTACGAGATTTGATGTAGTATACACCTATACGAAAGTGCAGGGGTGCATACCTTATCATCGCGTGACGTCAAAAATAATAGCTGCGACGCGTGTCGAAAAATATAATATAAATATATATACATATATACTGCTGTCTTCACGATACACGCGCAACTTTTGATCTAGGAGACATAATATTATGCAGTATAAGAGAAGCATAAGAGAAAGAGAGAAGAGTGAAAATGATGGAATAACAAACGGACCTCGCGCGCATCGATTAGCCAGTTCGTGGTTGCCAGGAGCTGCCTTTGGCTCATAAATTCGAATCGATAATTTCCTATAATCGGTGACGGAAACAGCTACACCCCCATACGCCATATACGGCCAGTGTACTCTTTTGGCAGCGTGCAATCCGCACACGTGGGGGTGACTCTCTTTGGGAGAGCATTGTACACTTCTCCCGCCTATGATAATACATACTTGCTTAGTCTCTTCTCATAACACTTTCACTCTCTTCCGGTACTTCCTTCTTACATACTACCGAATGCCGGTGAACCTCCTGAGCTTGCACACGTGTATACGTCTCGTAGGTACACTAGACGGACATATATATTTATGGAGCGCGCGGTGGCTCGGTCGGCTAGGTCGTGGATTGGCACGCGGGAGACTGTGGTTCGATTCCCGGCTACAGTGCGACTTTTTCGGGCAAGTACCTCTGTGATTCTCACATGTGCTTTTTCACCACGCAATGCTCCTCGAGGAGGGTTTTAGGCGACCTCCTCACAGCAAAATTGCCTAATTTCCTACTATACCCCCCTCCCAGTATTGAGAGGCCACCCAATCCCTCTTCCCCTCCTTCTCCCAAGTGCTAAGTGCCCATAGTAGTGCCTTTATTAAAGGAGCCGGACGTAGAACACTATAATATAGAAAAAAAATATATATATTTATGTTCGCGATCCCTACAACACAAGGTCCTTATGCTGTAGGGGTCTCGAATATCCGTCCGTCTAGTATACATACATACATACGTACTCACACACACACGTATTTCTAATTAGATAGTAGCACATACACATATAGCAGTAACTAAAGTATATATAAAATTGTCGCTTAAATATAAATATATCCTCTTTTCTTTTTTCGACAAGTCAATCGCACGTCAATTTATTAATATGTGGGCTCTATATCCATACCTGTTGCACAATTAAACGTTACATCAGATCTCCTGATGTTCTTGTCCACGGGTATAGGTATATGTAGTTACATCATCGACAGTATATATTAGGTGTGTATAGCTGACTCTGTTACTGTATNAACAAAGGCATCTAGGCCTTTATTTATTATTATTATTATTATTATTATTATTATTATATTTTTGCGTGTGTTTCCGTGGACAATGTTTTCTTCCGATGAAATTTAAGTCATAATAAATTCATTAGAGAAGAGAGAGAGAGTGTTTATATGGGTCAAAACGCGCCCCCCCTTGACTTATTCTTTCTTTTCGCAAGACCTCGGGATTTCTAATAATAAATGTGATGATGATATATAAGAGGAGTGATTATAATGTCACTTGCCTCCCATCGATCAATGAATAATCTGTTTGCAGAACTGCCAGAGACGAGGTTCACGCGCAGCATCTCGAACCCAGAGGCAGTGATGAGCCGTCGCCGGCAGCAAAAGCTCGAGCAAAAGCTCAAGCAGTTCCGGAGCAAGGACGGGGGCCCTGATACCGGTGGCACCCTCAAGATATACGGCGAGGCGCTTTGCAAGGACGTGCCCTACAAGACCCTTCTGCTCAGCATACGTGACACCGCGGCACAGGTAGTCCGCGAGATGCTCGCCAAGTACGGTCTCGATAAGGTCGACCCACAACAGTACTGCCTCGTTCAGGTCAGCTCTTTACCAATATAAACCACATCTCACACAAAGTATACCTATATTTTAACTACACGCACAATTGTGTACATACATACATACATACATACATAATCATGTACTCAAAAGTTTATACAATCAAGATAAGCGTTTTGCGTTTATGAGCCATCTAAAGGATTATACAATATTATATAACATAATAATATATAATCAGCCGCCCCGAACGGCATTGAAGGCGTATACTTACAATGTATTGAGTATGGGTAGGTATTTGGTTTTCTTTCCACCCGTATAAACTTTTTCACGCTGCATTGAGTATACTTAGTACTTGGAGCCTTTTTTTGCGAGTTGCGAGTCTGTTGAGCCAAGCGTAAAGGAAATGAAACGCTGCACGATACTCTGTTATACCTATACTTGCCTACTTATTCGCCAACAACAATGATGTTGGTGATGAGTCTTTGAATTTTTTACGTCACTCGCCGCGTGTGATGTTGTTGTTACAGTACAATGTCGGTACATCACGCGTTTTTTTTTTTTTTTCCAACCCTACTGAGCGAAACTGCCTTCGGAACAGTTGTTTTGCTCTCATGAAACTTTACCAAAACTTACACACCCTTTTTCCGCGATTTACGTAATAAAATTATAACTATATACGTATCACCTATATAGATATAATAGCATGTTAATTGTGGAAAAGGGGTGTCACCATTACTGAAACCCGTGTTGTTTCCTCGTATTACATGGAATTACGAGTAAAATGATCCGTATCTCGAAGGTGTGCCTTTAAGAGATTTTTTTTATCAAAATAGGGGACAAAAACGGGATATTTTTTGTGGATTTCATTACACCGGTCGTCACGCTCGATAAGTCTGCAGCTACACCGGTGAGGCATTAAGGGCGAGTCAATCCCTGCTCTGCCGGAAAGCCGTCGGTAGCGCGGGACTCTTCCGAGCCGCACCGATGGCCCGGCGTCTCCAGAGCTTCGGGTCATTTCGACCGCAACTCACCCCCCTCGTTCCCGTCACTTGGCTATAGGCTTTTGAATTTTTTACCCCACGCGTGTATAATATCCCCAAACGGATCGAAGGAGTCGTTTCCAACGAGTGGCCGTCGTTATATTAGGCGATACCTCGAAACTACACTTACCCTCTCTATCTACCCCTTTCATCTACCTATACCTAGACTTTCTCCGGTACTTACCTACTTGAGAAATTTGAAGCAAACCCGATGGGGAACTGAATTCGTACATACACACCTGTACCTATACAAAACGAAATTATTGGCGCTGATGTACACCACCATCATGTACACGCTTGCATATAAACATGGGATATATACTCGGATTGTTGTTATCTCTTTTTCGAGTAGGACAGCCAAGGGAACGGATTGAATTATCAAGACCGAGCGGGTATTAACATGCAACAAAAAAAAAAAAAAAAAAAAAATGTGATACTACTTATCGTATAACAGCTAGCCGGTCCGAACGCTTTGATAACTCCGGACGACGGCGATCGATTCGATTTGACCGCGCTGTTTTAGCGACTGCCCCGAGAGCTACATGTAATTGGTCATATGCGTATAGAGGTACTGCAACACTGCATACGTATAATGCGGAAGTTGAGAGTGAAAATTTGTTGTACGTATAGAGAGGAATANCGTTTTTTTTTTTTTTTTCTCTTTGTTTCAGGACAACAACGGCCCACGGTCCCATGAACTGGCACGATGAACTTGGCAGCGATTTTGTTTTGTAAGGACTTTTGTTTTCATCCTTCCGCCCTTTTCTTCGTTATTTCTTTTTTTCTTTTTTTTTTTCTCTTCTTCTATTCCGGGTTTCATTGCAGTATTGGCGATATTATGTACACCAGGACGTGCCTTTTTTCAGGCTCCGTGCCAATATTCATCTTTGATTATTTATTGTTCCAGGTTTTACGGCGAGTTAGTTGGGTTGCGAACAAAACTAACTTTTATTATACTTGTTTCATTGCATGGGATAAAGTTTTTTTTTTTTTTTTTTTTAATTACATTTATTGGGAGCGATGCACACAGCTCTCTTTCTTGTTTTTCTGCCTCTTCTACATCCATGCTTACTTTTACTGTGCGTGATTTTTTTTTGTTTTTCTTTCAATTTGATCTTGCAACGCGATGCCGTAGGTACGTGGCGGTGCAACGTTACACATACGTCGATTGCACGACACGCTCTGCTGATGTAAAAATTGTCATATCCATTTATTCGTTAATATTTTTTCATTTATGAGTTCGTGGTTGTTTATCGAATGACGCTTTATACGTCTGCCGGTTAATTACGAGGGACTCGGTTGTAATGTTATGCTGTTCAAATAAATTGGCTCGCCGATGAGACGATTTTCGCGAGATGCAGTTCGTTAGATAAAAAAAAAAGAAAAAAAAAATTGTGAAATGGATGAACAATTTTCACCAAAGCTCCAAACTTTGTCAAACAATGGAGCTCGGGATTTAAAGGGTTACGCAACAAGTTAAAGGTTATCTTTGATATGATCGAAATGCACCCTAATGGAAAACAGCAGCGTCCATCTACTGGACAACAGTAATTGCCAACCTCGTTAAAATTTACCTACCATATGTATACAATATGTATATACACTAGATTGCTGTGTGTGTACTTATTACACTTGTATGAATTCCAGGAAAAATTCATTATCACCCTGCCCAGGATCGAGGAAAAAAAAAAAAAAAAAAAAATTGGGTGACCAACCCGTCACTTGTCATTCGTACGGGGTGTAGGTATTGGCGAGTTTGTCAAAGTGACGCTGCTCCAATAACCAGCGAGTGACAATCAATGCTCCCCCCCCCCCCCTCGATTACCATTGGTACTTGGTGCCTATACTGACGCTTGTCTCTCCACCGGCAGCGGATTCAAGCGTCCTAAAAGAAAGACCGGCGCCCGGAGCTCTCCTATAATTACGTATCTACCGGCAGCGCACGGTAAAATACGATATGCGTTCACGCTCCACCTTCTTCATTTTTTGCTAGTATAGCGGCGCTTGTGCAAAATCAAGTTTCGAAGGCTTTCGGCCGCTTAGCCGGATAACGAGTGTTACGAACAGTAAGGTATATTATCCGCTCGGCTGGTGCAACAACCCGAAAATTTGAGGGATTTCAAGGAGTACATGATAACATACAGTACGGCTGGACGGTCATGGAAGGCAGCCCAGTCGACTGAGCTAATAAGAGGAGCCGTGCAGGCGCTACGTCCGTAGCTATACCTCGATCTCGTTAGCCGGGGAATCGTCGTCGAGTGGTCGTGTTGCCGGCAAACGGGATGGAAGTAGAACGAGAGGGTGTGGATAGTAGGTGTAGGCAGAGAGCCGCAATCCACGCGCAATTAATGCCAGTCTCCCTTTTCCGTTTCATCCGCGGTGGCAATTGGAGAGCCGTGCCTGACAAAAGGCGCATGCATGAGAGAGGTACGAGTAGTATATGTATATTATACTTACGAGAGCTGGCCACCACCCTCTATACTTGGCGTAATTTTTTTTTTTGCGTGAGTTTGCGACTGACGACGACGACTTGGTACACGCCAGCTCAGCCGAGGTCAGAGCTCTATACTTCCAGTTTTTTCGCCCAATGTAGTTGAACCGTGGCGCCTAAAAATTATCACATCTAGCGTGCTGGATGAGTAGAGGTATAGGCACGCGTAAGTACCAAAAGTTAGTAGTCTGGCTGCTGATCGTGAGTGCCAACTTTTTTTTAAATTTCAGATGCCATTTTTTGTTGCTTCCCGGAGAAAAGGCGTCAGCGCGTGCATTTTTTCTCCCTCGTATGAAATGGCACACTGCCGATTCAAGGAGGTGCCCGTTTGCGCGAGTGCGTGTATTATTATAAGGTAGGTACACGTACGGCCATAATGCTCGCGCTCAATTAGAAAATCAGCGCGCCCGTGATCGTGTGCTCCTCTCCCTTTTGAATATCATATACCCGACTTTTTGCATTGCCCTCGTACGTGCGTGTACACCTACGCCTCCCCTACGTCCCTGTCGAGCATGATATTCCATCCTCTTTTGCTACAATCGCCCTCACGTATGATGCCGCTTATTTTTGTAAATCAAACATCTGCATGATTCGAGAACCTCGAGGAAGATCGTACAAAAAATGTGTCCCTTTCTCCCTCCCCTTATCCACTTTTTTACCATCCTCTTTTTTTTTCTCCACCACCACCATGAAAACGAGCGTCATCATCATATATGCATTTTAAAAACCTTTACAAGTGATGTTTCGCCTCTTTTTGTATTTTTATTCTCTCCTTTATCCCTTGAATTTTTTTCCGTTCGTTTTTTTACCCATCATTAGCCCTCGCCCGTCAATATAAATATGTATTGGAGCACAGGGATGCTTTTAGGTGTGCACGTATGTATCCGCGTCATTGACAATTCTGCAGTACAATTACTTGTGTGTGTAACAACGTGCTATAGTATAAATAGGTATACGTCGTTCATAAGGTCAACAGGACTGGGAATATATATATANGATGAGAGAGCACACCTATTCAAGTGTTGGATACGTGTAGTGCATATTACATAATATAGACTCCGGGCGTCCTTTTACAATATATATACCTATTCCGAGTACTGTTGCATCCTGTATATATATATATATACACCTGTATATTGTACGCGCGTGGTGAAAATCCCGCATGGGGAGGGCCAAGAATCCGTGGCAAGCTCTCTCTCTCTGAATTTGCAGTTGTCAGTCGCAGTTACTACGGTTACTTTAGGTATAGCGGTGTACTTTGTACCTACTTACCTACTTATAATTGATGTGGGCCGCTCGACGTGGCCAAGGCTGATATTTTATGTACTTGTGCCTGTCCGTCGTTGATCCCTCTGTCTTTTCCCAGCTCCTCTGAGATAAAATACACAATCAGCTCATCTCGAGTTATTGATAAATTTGTCACAACAATTGCGCGACACTTGCCATGGCGGCTCATCTGTGTGTATAGTTTGCGTTACAATACGGATGAGGGATTGTTCGATGTGTATTTATATTGTGTAGCATATAATATGTCGGCACGCAGGAGACTGTGGTTCGATTCCCGGCCATAGTGCGACTTTTTCGGGCAAGTATACCTCTGTGTATTTTCACATGTGCTTTTTCACCACGCAATGCTCCTCGAGGAGGGTTTTAGGCGACCTCCTCACAGCAAAATTGCCTAATTTCCTACTATACCCCCCTCGCAGTATTGAGAGGCCTCCCAATCCCTCTTCCCTTCCTTCTCCCAAGTGCTAAGTGCCCTTTATAGGAGCCGGACAAGACGTATATCATGTATTATACATTATATATGTATAGACTTTTTTTTACAGCTCTGTAGAGCTGGCTTTCGTTAGACTCGATAATTAAGTTTTCTCAAGCAACGAGAGCTGCGCCGAAAATGCAAATCCAAACTCTACGGTACGTTTTCATAAAATAAAAAAAAGAAAAACAAACCACACATATTGTACCCATTCACTGCAGGTATAAGTTTTAATGAAAAGGGCCGGTATATACTCGTAGTTTGCATCGCTCGATTCGTTAACTCGCCTGTTTACAGAGATGCGACGACCCCAAATCGGGCCAATTCAAAGTTCGTTTGCGAAATGGAGAATTAGTAGAGCCAAAGGTGTAAATAACATATACCGCGCAAGTTTTCTTTTCTTTTGTTTTTGTCTTGTACTCGAATCTCTGAGGTGATTTTTTATTCACCTGTAAGTTTCATGTCTCTCGGGACTCCACAGCCTACTATAGTAGGTGCTAGTTAACCGAGTTGGTACGAAAGACATCGTAAACGTTGAAGTCTGATTAAAAATTCGCATCACTGACGAATCACAACGCGCATATTAATTTACACATACTCGTGTATAGTTTTAACTTGGGTTACTTTACGAACGAACAAACATTAAAAAACGAACGAGAAATACCTTTACGCGGTCTAGGTATACACATCTATGCACCATTACCTTGAACGATACCATGGCTCTATAGCTGTACATCTGTACTCCTTACAATAAAATAAATAAGGTACACGTAAACGCAACAACACCTATTTTACTTAAACAGTTCATATAAAAGATAAAAGAGTGGCCGTTGTCAATGGGCAATGTCGCATGAAAAAAAACTTGGACGTGCGTATACCTATTCTTACCGCTGCGCGGAGGAAAATCGACGATTCACATGCCGCCTGCTGCGGCCATGTCGTTAAACGGAGTAACGCGAACTTCGCGATGCCATGCACCCTCCGTATAGCCCTTCCCTACGAGAGAGAGAGAGACTGTTTCTCCTTTTTCCGCCACTTTATCTTATTATTCGGCTACGCGAAGGGGGGAGGGTGAAACGAGGAGATAAAAATCATCGTGAGGTAGTATAGCGTCGGGAAAGAACGGCCGAGATGAGGAGCTGGAGCTCTCGTTGTCGAACGTGTCCGACGAGCCGCTGTCGGTCAAGATGGCCCTTAACCTTCGTCCTCGTCCCCCGGTTTTTCTTTTTAGCGCGTCCATTAAGTACACCGCGGTCGCACCATCATATATATAAATTATGTGTAGCCCCCTATGAGCAGAGTAACATGTTAGGGTAGTTATAGGTATATATACCTGGATGATGATGCTCAACACACGCGGACTGGTTTGGTATACAGCTGTATTATATACTTAAGCGTGCAGTCGGGCGGTCACCTTGTAGGAATCAGCTGCTGCGCAGCAGAGAAGGCGCTCCTCAATCGCCACGCCACCCTTTTTCTCCCTCATCCCTATCCCTACCCCTACGTGCGTGGGTATACCACTCCAGCCTGCAGCCACCCACTCCCACTCACCCACCAAGAGAGAGAGAGAGAGAAAGCCCACCCGCCACGCGTCAACCGAGATACTTTTAGTTAACAGACGCTCGTCGGGTCGGGCGCTCGTACTCGCGCTCGTCTCTCCGTATTATACCTTTCCCGACGTCGAAAACGTCACCTACTTATCGATATACATAATAATAATTATTATTATCAACACAATATATTATATTGTACCTCATGGAGTACAGCTGTTCGATGCCCTACAATAGGTCATCATCTCATCCCAAATGGCACGGCCGTCCTTGCCTTGGTGGTTTGGCTCATTCTCTGTTCCTCCTCATCGTGGATTGCAGCTGCTGTTGTCGTAGTCACGGTTAGTGTGGCACGTCCAGAAACACGACAGCAGGCTTTTTCTTTTTTTTTTTTCCCTCCTTGTGTCCCGTTTGCCCCGTGGCATCCCCTCCTTCGATACACCACCGAAGATTTCTTGGCACGAGTCGAGGGAGGAGGGACAACGTCGGAAGAGATTCGTCAACTTTACTCGACGCCACACAGCCCGTGCGGCCTTGACTGCTGTACACTGTATATACTTTTATGGACTGTGAGTTAGCTCGTTACAATATACTAGACGGGGTAACCCGTATATGTGCAGCATGTGGTTATTTTTTATTCATTTTTTTTTTTTTTTTTTTTGTACCACCTATTGTTGGCTTACTGTGCATCGGCAGGCGGGATCGCTGGTAAATTGAGGTCTGATTTGAAGCCGGATGTGAGTGGCAAACATCGGAAAAACAACTCGCTTAGCGAATCGAATGGATCGATGTTAGGATAATCAGCTATACTGTGGCTGCTGCTGGTCAAATAGGGCTGACCAACTTAGTTGGCCCTGGCGAAGAAGATACACTATACGCTACTGCTGTCCTTGATGGGTCGATGATGGATGATGATGATGATGATGATGATGATGACGACGTTGTCCAAGCCCAGGTGAAATCGACCGCGAAATAGGGACCGAGTGTGTTGTTATTTATGGAGTCATTTGTGACTGACTCACCCGTTAGGTTATTTACTACAAAAGTGTGCGTGGACAATTTTGCCGTCAGTCCGTATACGTACTTGAATACTTATCATGTGGACCAAAAAACCTATCATCGTGACGAACAATGAAACTTGTTGATTCAACAACATTAGTCCTACAAAAGACTAACCTTGTACCAATAAAATTTCACGGACCAACAATACCTATATACAGGTACCTACATCTCATATGCACACCGACAAGATGAGAGAGCACACCTATTCAAGTGTTGGATACGTGTAGTGCATATTACATAATATAGACTCCGGGCGTCCTTTTACAAAAAAAATACAAAATTAATTTTTTTTTTCTACTTGCGCATTAAATTAATTACACGCAACGCAATCGATTTTAGAATGTTTATGCAGCATTACTATGTAGGCTAAACTACTGCTATATACACAACAAAATATTGACTCTTCAGAGAAAATGAGTAGAGCATAGTTGACAGCCGTGCATAATGTTACGTGTGTATTTAACTAACATGATAACACAATAACAGTTCCTTCGTCAAATTAAATTTATAACGAATAAGACTACTTGGCGGACCAAATATAATATTGTATACTCATTGATCGATAACTCTTGTGGATTGTGTTTTTCGTCGCACATACACGCAAAGAAGAAGGAGGAAGAGGAGGAGGAGGAGGAGGGGTAGATACTATAACCATCCAGTGTGTATACCATGCAAGTAAATGACCATCATCATTCGATACACAGATTTATGGATTCATTAGCCACATCGAAAATCCAAGAAGAGGCCAAATAGGCAACACCACTACAAATATTGAGTAGGTGGGGGATACCTACTCGTATCAAGAGACTCAACCGGACCAATTAGGCGATAAGGGAGACGACTGTCTGTGCTTTCATTTTTTCTTTTCCGCCCCCGCGAGGACAACACGCCCGTACCCGGCGAACGGCGTACTTGGTCCAGACCGAGGATTCAAGCGCGCAACCCGCGCAACAAGCTCAACGATGATGGATTGGGGGATAAGAAGTAAGCGACAAAAAAAAAAAAAAAAAAAAAACGAATCACGCACCCCTCCCATTTATATTTCGCCCTCTTATACAGTTTGACGTGCAATCTCGCCATCTTAGATCCCATCGTACCTGCATGTACGGATTACGTGCTACCTTACGCATACGCATACATACACCTATGGATACGCGTATAACATAGCTTCATTAAAATAATTATGTTTTCCTTCCTTTATCATTGTAAATAAACCACTTAACTTTATCGATTTTACTTGCGTGCCCCTCACACTCGTTGCACAATTTTCCCATACGTCCCACCGCGTGTGTGCGTGTATGTGTATACACAAACTCTGCACGTTTAGTTATCACGAGTAAGTAGACCAGCCCATTGTGTCTAAAATATTCGTATTTTTATAGATGGGTATGTCTGCTCGAGAGCTTTATTTGTCGAAAAGAGCAGCTGTGTTTATTTTCTTTTTCTTTTACTTATCTTTACCGGTATCGATGAAACCACTCGAGCATACATATACCAGCCTGCAATCGACAGGGGAAAAAAAAACAAAACAAAAAAATTCCACTCTTGTTTTCCGGTTCAAACAGATGGACCGTGATGATGGATGTAACTTGGCTGTTGGAGATGCCAAGTAAATTAGCGGGTGAGTTGTTTGTGTGAGAACGCGCCGCTACGATAACGATGATTCGTGGGACCAAACTTTTAAATCCAATGAAAATAACCACCCAATTAAATATCCACTTGTATACTTAATTATTTTCACTAAAAGGGCCAAAGTGCCATATAATGTTACAGCATGGCTTTAAATTCGGCTGATGGCTTGGCGGCCGGTAATTTTTATTTTATCATCGCGCCTCGACCATCAATCATGCAGGTTGGAAAACCATCATCGTCGTGCAGCCTCGGAAATTTTTAATAGCGGGAAAAAGAGTCCTTTTCCTCTCCGTGGATTTAATTATCACGTTTACAACTAACTTGATACGAATGACCATTTTTGTGAGTATTTGTCTTAGTATTGGTCGCACGGTATAGTTACGCAATGAAGTTTTTGTTAAACTTGAAAACCATTGTAATCTAGCAAAAGCCTGTTACCTTTGGTTTTTTTTTTTTTTTTTTTTTTTTTTTTTTTTTTTTTTTTTCACTCAAGTGAGATACGAGTGTATACACTCCAGACCATAACGTAGTTATTCGTTAAAAGTAATATTTGGTTTCGGTTTTTCGGCCCCCTAAAAACAAACGTGCCAGGTATAAAAGTTGCACCAAAATGTTGAGAAACACTTTTTCAAACAAATTGTTGTATAGTTTTTTCACACTCTTTGTAGTTAAAACAGAACGTACATCTTTCATTTTTTCCCCTAAAATTAATGCTTTGCAAGATGTTAATTATTCAAAGTTCCAAAAAATGTTGAACAAATCACGTGATTTCCAGCAAACAATGCGGGGAAAGAAAAATTTCTAGATATTTATACACATGTTGTGTAGGTACATTTTTCTGTACACAAGGATAATACACACAAGTTTATTGGGTTGCCTAATAAATAAATAAATAAATAAATAAATAAATAAATGTTGACATCTTTGACCTATAACTCGTACCTTGTGATACGGTACTCCGTATACGCAACAGTGCACAACAAATTGGTAAATCGATAGACTGTACTTGCCTTCTTCTTTTCCTTAAAAACCTTCCTTTATGTATATAAGCTATGCTTTAACGACGTCACGAAGTCGTCGGTGTCGCGTATGGATTGCGGAAGTTGTAAAGAAATAAAAGGGAAGGCGCTGTACGGTATTAAAGTATACGTGGCGCTTTGAGCGCATCCTGCCATTAGGGACTCAGTGCTCTGGAACAAAAAAAAACAAAATTCATTCGGGGCGAATAAGTACCTACAAGATGGAAAGAGAACCAAGTCCCGATTGCGATAAAATGATGATAATAATAATAATATGATGATAGGCCATCGTACACTCGATCATGCGTCGACGTTGTCATGTATATTTTCTCCCTTGGCTTGGCTGGGCTTTTGCTTGCCTTCCCCACAATCCTTGAATCGCCGCCTAGAGAGTTTGTGCTTGTACATGCTCCGTTTTCAGCCGCTTCATCTTCATTACGTGTAATTCTTTCGCGATTAATAATATAAGGCACTTACCCACCGGAAAGAACAAAAATCGATGATCGCTTAATTGAGAAATTTAGGGCACTCTCTCATTAATGCTCCGAGTAAATAGTTAGGTAGGTACTCTCCCTGTAACATGTATACATCGGCTAATGCCCTCGATTGCACCTGCTGTTGATACACGTATACCTAACACTTGAGTTGACTTTACCGCTCTGCTGCTGTTGTACTTCATCTCAATCTCATCTCATTATTTTTAATCGAAACCTACGAAGGATCTTTTCAATTGTACTCTTTCTTCATTTTCTTCCCCTTTAGTTTGGATTGGCCATCCTACGAGCATACGCATAGGCATCATTCATCTTTTGGCATATTCCTTACTCACTGTATTTACTCACTTTCACGTTAATAAATAATTCGTCGAGACATGTTGTACATTTTACAGTGATGTCACTTTTAATGGGCTGATAATGTTACATCTTAAAACAAACGTTTATGCAAAACAGTAAAATTCAACCCTCGAAGCAAGGGTGCAGTGCATAATCATACAACCCTTGCAATAACCCCGTGAATTGCACATCAGCAGGCTCTAAAATTACGTAGGTACCTTATTTGAAACACTCCTTTTCATTCATCATTTAAGATAACTGCAGCATCCGAGTGATGAGAATTTTAGCTATTCTCCTTCTCTACGTGTGTGTGCGTGCTTGCCTACATTGCTATTATTATCCTGTATACCTATACTTACCTAATACCTACTTGTGTACGTTTTAGGTATGTATGTACATATTCTCGTTATTATTGCAATTGACGAGCAAATAGCGATCAAACTTTAAATTTGTACTAATTTTTTTTTTTTTTTTTTTCATACTGGTTGACAAATACAAATTTTTTTTTTTACTTTCCTAAGGTTAGAAAATAATGACTTCAAATTCACAACACGAACAGTTTTATGGTCAAAAACTTGTACAAAATTGACATTTTTCACGGTACAATTGCACATAAGGTCCATGTACCTATTAAATTGTACAGTAAAAAAAAAGGATATCAACGTAATTCCATAATATTTATACTCTAAAGTTACAATCACTTTTGTCTCGTTCTTAGATGAAAAATAATTTTCAAATAAAGAAATGAGTAGTTAAATTTATATAAAAGTTAAACTTTTTTATCAGAGCAAAAAGCACCGTTGAAGTATATATAACACGCAAATAACTCATAAAATGAATGATGAAGCATAAAAGCTGGTTGTACAAGAATCGAATGCATGACCTGATCCTTGTTGCGTAACACAAGCGGCTTTAGAAAACACGCTCTGTTCGTTAATTAACAATTTAATCGAACTTTAAACAGGTATTGATACTGTTGCTCTCTTTCTCTCTGCCGCACGTCTTTGTTGTTAGTTTTTTTTTCTCACAGCTATCAGTAAAAAAAAGCTTGAAAACTCAATTTTGAGCTTACAAAGAGGTTTTAACGAAGCTCTCACTCATAAAGAGATATTTATATTTGCGAGGCAGTCTTTGATTATATCGGCTTATTGCAAAGCGTCAGGCACATTTAATTTGCGAACGTGTGCATAAATTGATAATAGCTACCGGTGCAGAATTCCAATCTCATTTGTGAAACATATAAAATAATAAAAAAAATTATAATACTAATAACGATAACAATGTATTCGGGTGAAGATCATCGAACCGAGGGCACGAAATTTATAAAACAATGGGGCCTGGCTTCAGCTTGTTTTCTCGGAACGCGTAGACCTACTTAAAACAAACAGCTAAGCGGAAATGGGCGAGTAAGGGAACGGCGGTGGAATGCAATCTGGTCGCGGGACGAGTGAGTGCAGTATACACATGTGTAGTATGCAGCACACACAGTTACGCGCGATAGGAGATCTATGAGAATGTACGTTGCACACATAGGTATTAATGTTATTGTTATTATTATTATTATTAATATATAAAACAAAGTGTATGTTTGCGCACACAAGTGCCAAGTAACCGCTTGATTTATCATGGTACCCGCTGATCCATGATACGGAAATTTTGTGGTTGGACAAATAATTCAACACAACGATGTCTCAAGTGTGACAGCCCATGTATGCAAATGAAAAAAAAAATCATGCATTCGTACGTATATTTTCCATTACTCTCGAAAATTTGACATATCGCAGCAAAGCCATGACAGCTCGATCCTGTTATTGTATACTCCCACCGTTACTATACAAACTCTTTCGCTAGACGAGCTCTCGCGCTCTGTTTCCCTCGAAGAAAATAAAGCTGCAGCTATTATTGAGAAAGTAAAGGGCTCCATCAAGCGGAGGTCTTGATTTATGTACAAAACTATGGGATAAAAATAAAAAAAAAAAACAAGAAAAAACTATCGAGCGAAAGTGCAGAGCTGGGTATCGCTCATGGTACAAGCGAGGGAGAGGGAAAAATAATAATTCGCACTCGATCAAGCTAATGGTGTACGAATAGTAACAGCAAAAAGTTAGAGGGCAGAGCTTAATTTACCAGCACCCCATGGCGCTCTGTTTTATTCGGGCATTTTCAATACAATATACACATACATATAAAAATAAATTTGGAACGGGGAAAATGAAAGGCAAAATTCGCTCTTGTGCACTCGTACACACGCACTTGTGCCAGACCCTGCACCTTTTTGCAACGAACAAACCTCGGAACAAACATTCTTGTCGCGCATCTTCTCTCTCAGCTGCAATGCTCTCTTTTCTTTCGTGCACGTTAGTACTGTTAGTATAGGTATTCGCTCCGAGCCGATGCAGAGGTTGCGCCCCCTGTAGCCAAAATCAGGCAACATTTCTTGCATGTAAACAAANCACCTTTGCTACATATAATTTAACATTACATAATATTACATTTACAA